AAATTGAAGCTCCAAGGCTTGCTCAAATGAGCTCATTTCTTTCCAAAACCAGATGAAAACATGGTCTACTCTTACAACATGGACATGCATGTAACCATTTACCATGAATTCAACCCAAAACTCATTAATTCAACCATGCATGCAAGAAATGAGCTTCAATTCACCATTAATGACCCAAATCATGACTTAGCTCTACAAATTAACATGAATCATGCAAGAATGAACTCAAGAACAGCAACAAGAAGATGGATGTCCTACCTTAGTCTTGTAGAATTAGGAGTGAGGGAGCTCAAATGTGCAAATACACTTCAATTCTCAAACAATTTCAAGCAATTTTCAAGGTAGAACTCAATTTCTCTCCCTCTCCCTCTCTTGGTCGGTTAAGGACAAGAAAATGGCTGAGCAAATGTGTTTTGATTCAAGTATAAGGCTCAAGTGTGTGTATATGAGATAGTGGCAAAATGGTAAATATGGCAAACTCTTTAATTGGCTTATTTTAATCTAATTTAATCATACCTAATCAATTTTCAGATAATTATACCATAAAATCACATTAAATATGAGGGTCACGGAACATCATTCGGTTTCTAATTCGGCCGCCGATAAGGCCTTCAATTAGAAGTTTAAACATATAAACATGAACAGATAATCAGACAATCAAACAGATAGAATGCAATTGACTAACATATACTCAGTTAATTCAGATCCCGATTTCAGTCAGTCAGTTCAGTACTTTAATCAGTTCAATTATCAGTCAGTTATCAGTCCCGTTTAGCAGTAATCGGTAATCAATCAGTCATTAATCAGTAATCAGTATGAGGGTTGTTACAGTTTGTTATCTTATACTTTAATTGTTGTACTTGCTCTAGTCTAGACACATTCGATATGTGCTGCAAGATATGTTTGACATGTTCTTTGACCAGTTTTGTAACCGGTAGACTTGATGAGAAAATCCAAGGCTGTGTTTGGTGGACACTTCCAAACGCAATTTCACCCCTTGGTTTGGGTGTGTTGTTTGGTTAGAATTTCAAAAGTTGATTTTACACCCACTTTTCAAAACACGTCTACCCAGTCATCCTCCCAAACGTCCCCCCGGACGTCTAGCCGATTGACCGAAATAGTGCTCGCATTTTTTTTTTTGCACCTGTTATTTTTATATTTTAAATAAAAAATATTTTCAAAAATTTTTAAAATTGTTTTATGAGCTTTGAATAGAATTTTGGATTGTATGTTTGGTTATGAGTTGTAAGTTTTTGAATCAAAAATTATATGTTAGATCAAAAATTTCAAACTCAATTCAAAACTCATTACCAAATAAATTTCCGCAATCAAATCATAATTCCAAAACTCACAAACTCAAAATACAATTCTATTTTCAAATCATAATTCTAAAACTCTACCAAATGCTACCCAAAATTTTATGGGATTTGTTGGTTGAGGCTAGACATAGTCATTGACATCAAAAATTTCTTCATCTTTGGCAGTTTGGTCTATTGGCTTTGCATCTTGCTTTGAAGCTCTAGTCATCTTTGCAACTCTGGGATATTCAAAGTCAGGGTTTTGCTTTCCTTTCCTTTGCCTTCAAATTCTTTATAATGGATGTAGGATATTTTTTCACTATAGTACGACGATGAAATTTCAATAAAACATAAATTTTTCTGAAGTAACAAAATCAGAATTCAATATGTAAATTTATTTAAGTCAATATTTTTAGTTACCATAGACTCTTGCCTTTGCTTTTGCTTGTTGTTTGTCTACTATTCTTTCTTTTTAGCCTGTTGGCTATTGTTGCACTTGCATTCCAACTGTACACAGTGAAAATCAAACAAACCAAAAAAATCAATGTGGTTAGAGAATTACAAAATCCAGAGAAAATTATACACACACGGAAGCAAATAGACAGAGAAAAATAAAGAAGCCACAGAAAATAATTGGAGACTAATGTGGTCAAAGAAATTTCAAATTCCAAAGAAAATTACTATTGTCTTTGTCCTTCTTGTGTGGTTCTTGTTGTTGGTTTGTCTCTTACACTTATTTCACTTGTTGTTGGTCTACTACTAGCTCTTGTTGCACTTTTGTGAAAATTCGGTAAATAGAAATTTCTCTAAGTTATGTTGACACAATAACATAACTTTCTGTGGTTCAAGATTTTTACTGACCTTGGAGGTGAACTTATTTTGATGTTAGGTATGGTTGTGTTGCTAGTTGGATAGATAAATCTTCAATTTGTTCATGCAAACTAGTATTTTCAGTTTCAAGCTTTGAAATTGAATCACTCAACTGTTGCATCGTATTTTCATTATCTTCTTTTTCAACCTCCAACATCCTTAGTCTCAGTTGGCTTGTGCTCTCTCTTTCCTGAAGCTCTGAATTCTTTGTTGTCAAGGTTCTTACTGCAATGTCCTTCTCTTCAAGTAATTAATTCCATTTTTGATCTTCTTGTATTTTGAAATTAGACCCTTAGTCTTTCACGTAGATTAGCAATTCGAGCATCCGTTGTTCGCTTAGATTCTTGATACTATTCCAATGTTGAGCCACAAATGCTATCATGTTGTTGGTTCATGCGCTCATTGTTATCTTCTTTATCACTTTCCTCTTTGTTTTGTTCTTCACTGCCCTCTTCTTCTTCATTGTCTTCTTCTTCTTTGCCTTCTTTGGTTTCCTCTTCTCCATTGCTTTCTTCTTCTTCTCCATTATTTGCTTTTTGTTCTTCTTCATTGGCTTCTACTTCTTCATTCTCTTCCTCTTCTTCAAATGAATCTTCAACTGTTTGCTTGAATTTAGCTATTGCCTTTTGTGCTTCTTCTTCTTGTTTTTTCCAAGACAATTCTCTTTAGATGCAGTTTTAGTTAGCACTTCTTTATCTACTTGTAATAGAAGGGTTTTTATTAGAAAATATTGAAATTTCACTGAGATGAATAAATAGTAAGGATGATAGTTGCAATAGAAATGTAACCTATTGATGTGTAAGAGACTTGATTGGTGTCTTCTACAATTGGTTGCTCAATTTTTGTAGGTTCTTCTTGGCATATCTTGGGAAGTCGGTGGTGTTACTTTCTTTCCAGTCGATGATATTTGCATGTTTGCATAGTCAATACTGTGATGAGAATTGAAATAATTAAATTTCCCCGAACACACAAAAATATAAGTATCATAAATGTAAATGCAAATGAAAATTATGGTTACTAGAAAGACAATCACACACCTTGTAACTTTCTTTGGAATTTTGTGCAATGCTTGTATAGAATCGATCAATGTTGTTATTGCTTCTGCCCAATCATACTTCTTCATTGCTTCAAGCGGTTCTACATACTTGATAAAAACCCACCTTATTGAATCCCTACTTGTTGCAAAAAATAAGGTTAGACACAAGTAGAGGGTAACAATGATTGCTACATCTTTAAAGTCATTTGGCTACTTCCCTTTCATTGCTTTTGTCAATGTCTGCTTCAGTACAGGACCAGTTATCCTCGTTGCCTTTGGAAATCTTCGCCTTAGGAATGGTGTGTTTGGCTTCTTTGTGTATTTCAATGACATGGTACCTTTACCACCTTCCAATGCAAAAATCAAGATCATGTCATTGATTGAGAAGGTCAAATTCTTCTTACCAATGGTGAATTCTTTGTTCTTTTCATTGTATCTTTGGATAACTGCAACTACATCATCATTCTATTTCCTACATCTCTTTGCATCCATCCTTCCTATGGTTAGAGCTTGGATCAAATAACAAAATGGTGTTTTTTGGAGCTCTATAAGTTGGTTTGAATTGAATTCAAGTGTTTCAAAAAAAAAGGGCACAACAGATGAGAGGTTTGATCAGTATTGAATGCTGTAATTTGCTCTCTTTCCTTGAAGTCTGGTGGGTCTCTTGGTGTTTCTGGTGTGTTTTGTTGCTACTGTGTTTTGATCTCAGATCATAAGTGGCAGACTTATAGACTTTCTGCTTCTTTTGTGGTGTTTCTGGCATTTTGTTGCTGCCTTTAGATCTCAGCTCGTAACTGGCAGTGTGAGAGACTTTCTATTTTGCTTGTGGTGTTTCTGGTGTGTTTTGTTGCTACTGTGTTTTGATCTCAGATCATAAGTGGCAGACTTATAGACTTTCTGCTTCTTTTGTGGTGTTTCTACTGTTTTGTTGCTGTTGCGTTTTGCCATTTTTAGACAATGAAAACATAAAGATGTCAACATGAAATTCTAGAAAAAAATTCAAATGTTATAGAAAATCTCAAATGCTATAGAAATTTTAGGCAGAGAAAATCAAAGAAGCCACATAAATGAATGGAAGTATAAATTTGGTCAAAAAAAATTCAAATGCCAGAGAAAATTACAGTTACAAGCATACAACTAGTCAGAGAAAATTAAAGAAGCAACGTAAATTAATGTGGTTAGAGAAAATTAAACATGCCAGAAAAAATTACACACACGCGAGAGAATATTAAGTGATTTTTAACCAAATAAATCAAACATGCTAGAGAAAATTAAACATACTAGGGAAAAGTAATGTGGTCAGAGAAAATTACACACACAGAGGAAAGTATTAAGTGGTTGTAACCAAATAAATCAATCTAGCCAAAGAAAATTTCAAATCCTAGAGAAATTTTCAATAATTGAGAAAATTAAAGATACAAGTACATAACTAACCAAAAAAAATCAACAAAGCAACATAACTTAAGGTGGTCATAGAAAATTAAACATGCCAAAGAAACTCCACCGTTTGATGTATTGAACCATTGTCTGTGGAAACATTTTGAAGACTAAGAACTAAAAGGTATGGTTCAATATTGAGCATGATACATGTACCCCTTTTTGGATCCTAGATTCGTGAAGTAAGATGAGATAACCAGAGCAGAGACGTAACCATAATGGTAAAATTTCAAATCCCAGAGAAATTTTCAATAACAGAGAAAATTTTAAGAAATATGGGAGGTAAGCTTTTTGGTATATATTACAACGTTACCAAACAGCCTCTACGTGTCTGAAACGTGAAAACTGAGGATGCAACAACAAATATGCCTATACGAGGTACCCACTTCAGGCAAGAGCAATGCCCATCTGGCTGTCCCAGATTGCTACCTGTGCATCAACGATATAGTCTGAATTAGCACTATAAATCTAATGCAAATTTCTTGAAAAAATTCCATAGTCGAAAAAAATATGAAAAAGTGAGGGTACTATAAATCTTATACGGTGACAAGGTGAAGGCCATCCACACCAGTCAATTAGGAAAAGCTGCTTGTTTTCGATGAAAGAAGAAGCTTGTTTGGAATTCAGAACTTGGGTTATGGTCATAATAATCTCAAGCAACTGAAGACGATCAAGGACCAAAAAGTTAAACGGAAAGGCGAAAGATTCTTTGATTGAGCATTAGAGCAAAAGTTTGAGGAGTGCGAACAACTTAAGAGTTACCATGAGAAGGCAAGCAAGAGGTCCTTGAGCAGCCAAAAGGGTCTCCACCACCAATGCCTCCACAACAGAGCACACCATCATTACCCTCTCCCCAAAATTGTGCCACCAGTAAAAATATAGCTATAGATAAATATTATAATAAGCTGCAATAATCCAAGCCTTGGAAAAAAGTCCATCTAAGAAAAAGCATAGAGAAATCCGTTTCTTCTCGCACATCATACTACATCAAGTTCAGAACTTTTACTCTAATGTCCTTACCTAGATTTGTCATGCTTGAGAAACAATATTAGCTAAAATGGGTAGCTAGAGAAAGACAGAAAAATGGAGAAAGGAAGCCATTCATCCGACACTATACTAGGATCGTTTTTTATTTTTTATGAAAAGATGTGCAGAAAAATATATGACAATTTATAGTAACTTTTTGACAAAATACACATGTCTATCCAAACTAGAAACGTAAATAATATGGATAGGATATATTTTCCCATAAAAAAGTTCCAGAAAACAAAAGAGAGCAAATGTGTATCAGTTCTTTCTACAAAATTCTAGCATTCTACGGATAAACAGGTAATTTAAAATAACATTTTCGTATCAATAATATAGAAAGAGAGCCTTTTTGTTAATTACATTAGTCCAGCAGTTAATAAGTTTAAAGAATGATCACAAAAAAAATGCTTGGACTCGTATTAATTTTTTTCAGATTTTTTAGGCAAAAATCTAAGCAATGTGTGGGTACCTATGGGAACCATGTAACAAAGGAATAACAAATATCAATATCTCATCATCCTTTTTCAAGTCAAAAGGTTGTACAAATGAATTTTGTCCAAGCATTAACAATATTTTTATTTTTTTGATAAATAAGCAGTAACAAAATTTTCAATCAGTAATACACCAAAATGGATTCTTCTTTCCAAAAACAGAGGAGTAAATATGAAAAAAGAAAAAAAGAAAAAGAAAATTTAAGAGTATAAACAATGTTCATGCCTCTCTATAAAGTTTCCTAGTGATATAAGGCAACTGCATAATACATGTATCACAAATTCCCAAAGTTCCAGCAGATTTTTCTGTTAATTGCAGCTCAATAATTATTTTCTGACTTTAACCTTTAAAATATTTCATACTTCATACTAAAAAATTAGCTAAAGATAATAGCATTTTTTTTTTTTGGAAATTTAATCCTTGAAACACTAAAAAAAAAAAAAAGCCCTCAACTAGGGCTGTTAATAAACTTCTCCGACCCCGACCGACCTGACCCGACAACCCACGGGCGGATTCGATTGCATACTCTGTCGGCTGCAGGTGCTGATTAAAAAAAATGATTCGTGGTTCGAACATCGGATTCCTAACGCTCTACCCGACTAAAATCCGACTGACCGACCAAAAATATTTATTTAAGTATAGTTTTCACGGGACCCAATATCATTTGTTGGTGAGTTTTTAACTTATCATTTTGAAACATTCGTTTCGTTTGTATTTCTGAAAAAATTTTGGAAAATTTTCTTTACAAATAAGTTTTTAAAAGTAATCAAACTAAACAAATTTTTTCAAAAAAATTTCTCAAAACTTGTAAACCAAACAAGTTTTCCAAACAAATCTCTTTCTCACACACATCAAATCAATCACTTTTTCCAAAACTCTCTTTCAAAATAATTTTCCAAAACATCTTTTGAAAAAAATCAAACCAAACAACTTTTCGTACTTTTTATCTCTAAAACACATCTCTCAAACACAAACCAAACATACCCCATATCTCATTTTTTTTAATGATTTTAATTTTACCAACATATGTGGCTCGATCAGAGAGCTTTGTAATCTCTTTTTTAATATTATAATTCCTCTCTTCTCCATTAATTCATCGTCATCCAATAACTCTCTCCAGATCAAAAAAAATCCAATAACTCTCTCTCATTTGAACTCTTATCTTCCCAATACAAGTCTTGTCTTCTTCCCTAAAACAAGTGGTCTCTCACTCTCTCTCCAAGGCTGTCATGCACTACACTCTCATCTCTATCCCACTATCTCACTGATTGATATGCCTATACATAAGTTATTCTCAATGATATAATTTAATTTACTTACAAAGTAGATGTAACTGTGATTCTGTGAATCAGTGATTGAGCAAAAAAGAGAAAGAGAATATTAAAATTATTTCAGAAAAAAAACAAAACAATAAACCATAACAATAATACTTCAAACAAATCAACCGTGCTGGGACTCCAGCGCCATATGGCCCCTGTGAGAGCAAGGTTTAAAAAAAAAAAAAAAAAAAAAAAAAATTCCCAGCCAATTAAAAAACAGTGGGGATGCTAGGGTCACCCTCACTGAGGGCCTCGGTCATTTTCCCAAACAAATATGCAAGAACATTATACTAGAAACATAAACTAGAAATTATAACACAAAAGAATACAATACCGAAATTAGTCAAGATTTGTGTTGGTCACAATTTTCTTAAGGTTTAATTCGCTCTCACCAAGGTGCTCTGGCTATTGGTGCTAACCTCCTCGCATACAATGACTAGAATCTAAGACCGCAGCACAACAATTTCAAATATGGCGAACCAAACTTGTGTTGTACTCTCCTCAAGACTCAAAGACTCTCTAATGCAGAAATCTACGTGAGAAACACCAAGAACATAGAGCAATTTTCAATCACTAACACACCAAAATGGATTCTTCTTTCCAAAAACAGAGAAGTAAATATCAATTCCATAGCCTGATCACAACAATCTGAAAAACCCTAACGATACTCCTGAATTTTTCCCCTACACATTCAGAAAAAAAAAAAGGAAAAAAGAAAAAAGAAAAAAAGAAAAAGAAAATTTAACAGTATAAACAATGTTCATGCCTCTCTATAAAGTTTCCTAGTGATATAGGCCACTGCATAATACATGTATCACAAATTCCCAAAGTTCCAGTAGATTTTTCTGTTAATTTCAGCTCAATAATTATTTTCTGACTTTTAACTTTTAAAACATTTCATACTACATACTAAAAAATTAGCTAAAGATAATAGCATTTTTTTCTGGAAATTTAATCCTTGAAACACTAAAAAAAAAAAAAAGCCCTCAACTAGGGCTGTTCATAAACTTCTCCGACCCCGACCGACCTGACCCGACAACCCACAGGCGGATTCGATTGCATACTCTGTCGGCTGCAGGTGTTGATTAAAAAAAAAATGATTCATGGTTCGAACATCGGATTCCTAATGCTCTACCCGACCAAAATCTGACCGACCGACGGACCGAAAATATTTATACACGGGGTGAGTTTTCAACTTATCATTTTGAAACATCTATCTCATTTTTTTTTAATGACTTTAATTTTACCAACATGTGTGGCTCGATGAGAGAGCCTTGTAATCTCTTTTTTAATATTATAATCCCTCTCTTCTCCATTAATTCATCGTCATCCAACAACTCTCTCCAGATCAAAAAAATCCAATGACTCACTCTCTCTCTCTCG